ACAATATCAGCCCGATCCCCAAAAGAATAAAACCTTGAATCTTTCCTGTAAACCTGGACTCCCTAACAAAAACGGTTTTATCCCAGATTTTTGTTATGGTTATATCTTAAAATAAATCCTAACCTTTGTGAACATGATAATGGCAATTCACCATAAACAGATTACTGTAAACCTATAAATGTATGTTGGGTTGTGGATTTTGTGAGGCATAGCTTCTGAAGTCTGAACTCTACAAACAAATCCTTACTTTCTGTTTTTATATTTTTATTTTTTTTCTTTTCTTTCTTTCTTTTTTTTTTTTTTTAAAGAGATTTTATTTATTTATTTGACAGACAGAGACACAGCGAGAGAGGGAACACAAGCAAGGGAAGTGGGAGAGGGAGAAGCAGGCTTCCCGCGGAGCAGGGAGCCCGATGTGGGGCTCGATCCCAGGACCCTGGGATCATGACCTGAGCCGAAGGCAGACACCTAACGACTGAGCCACCCAGGCGCCCCATACTTTCTGTTTTTAAATACTTTTTTTCTCAAATCTTCATTTGACATATCATACATCAGGGAATGCTGAGAAAAAAGAAGGAAGAGAAAACCAGCAAGGCTCTACATGGGGAGTGAGAGGAAGCTCTGCATAAGCTTAACTGTTCAGGCTGAGTGAGGAGGGCCTTCCAGCTTCACCAAATTTCAAAAAGAACTATGGCAAGACCTCCATCTGGAAGTCCTCCTGCCTCTCCTGATAAGAAGTGGGAGGGCTTCAGAACCAGAGCTACCTAGGTACATACAAAAGCACCAAGAGATTGTCAACACCTCTTCAAACCCATACATTTTGTTGTATAATTTCACACTATCAGCTTTGGAGCTCAGCATATGCTTTCACAATATACGGGTATGCAGTGCCGTTGTACTCAGAGAGCCAAGTTATCCCAATAAATACGTATACTTAATGAAATTGTTATTTACACCTGCACAAACACACGTTATACAAACATACCATTCACATTCAAATCCAATCCTTACACACATGTCTATTAAAACATCTCTCAAATACACACATCAACAAACATATCCACACACCTTCACATTGTATAAAATTTCTTTTCAATTGTAAATATACATACTCTGGACTAACAAAAAATACATCCATACAGATAAGCTCACAATTGTGTATTCTCAACAACACTCATTCTTGCCCATGCACTCAATCCCCCAGCCTTTGCATTTGTGTATACAGAGCGGAGAGGCAACTTAAGGGTTAATGCTTCAAGCTTTAGTCTCTAGTCTCAGAGGAAACCAGAGATGGAGACAGGGGGGCCTATCAGGAGGCGGAGAATTAATGCTTGGGGAAGGGAAAGGCCAGACTTGAACAGGTCTTTAAATAGGTCCTAATCTAGTCTCTGCTAAAAGCTGAATTACAGGAGCCAGTTAGAGCTGCTCATGGTCAGAGATGAAGCAGAGCTCAAGGTGAGTGGTTCCCCTGTGCCACAGTCATCTCTGCCCTTCCCAGAGAACGGTAGGACTCACAGAGGCTCCAAGAAGCTGGAAGACGAGGCAATAGACTGCACAATGGCCTGACCCACTGGCCCTCCAGGTCCAGAGATCCCTGACGGATGGCTTTCCTTCTGAGATGGGGAGGATTCGCTGCTCACATCATATCCTCCAGGGAATTCTAGAAAAGTAGGAGCCTGCCTCCACACACAATCCCTCCATGAAGGATTCTGGATTTGAACCCTACCCTGTTCCAGCATTATTGTTCTATGCCTTGGTTTTAGATACCCCAAAGTGAGAAAGTGATCTAAACATCCTTGAAACTCTTCCTTAGTAAGATCACAGCCCATTTTATCCTTTACCCCTTCAGGCCTGAGCAATATGGTTAATTGATGGACATAAATAACTCCACATAATGAGTGCAGTAATTGAAGGCTAACAGAGCCAGTGGTACCAGCACGGAATTCAAACCCACACTCATAGGTGAAAGCTGAGCTCCACTAATGTGAGAACATCATTCTTTTGTTTTAAGATTTTATTTGTTCATTTGTCAGAGAGAGGGAGAGAGGAAGAGAGCCAGAGCACAAGCAGAAGGAGCATCTGGCAGAGGGAGAAGCAGGCTCCCCGCTGAGCAGGGAACCTAGTGCTGGACCTGATCCCAGGACCCTGGGATCATGACCTGAGCAGAAGGCAGACGCTTGACGACTGAGCCACCCAGAAAGCCTGAGAACGTCATTCTTGTAACAGTATTTCCTGAACCAAAAGCTATGCCAAGTTCTCACAAGTTAGATTGTACTTTGGAGAACAGAAAAATTGACTCTGAAGTTCAGTGTGTGATCACCCTAGCTATAACATTGAAAAAGATGACTTAATTTCTTCTTTCAGTATGCATAAGGCTCACAAGAGGTCTAGCCCATGGGGGTGCAGGGACAGGGAAATATGTAAAAGCAGGAAAAGGGAGAAGGAATGCTGGGCAAGAAGGGAAATTATATTGCTCTTCTTTCCCTACTCTTGAGGGAATGCACATATCCATCTCTCCACCCAGCAGTAAGTTGATAACCTGTGCCTCCCTCAGAAATAGGATTTCAAATCTCACACACTTCACAAAAATGATCTAAGACTGGTTAATTCCCTGTCCACTCCACATGACTTGGAGCCTTCACTCTACACAGGCTGAGTACATAAGTGAGGGAAGAAGAGGCAAGGGAATTGCTGAGAAGGAGGACACCAGATTCCATGGGGTTGTAGGTATAGAGAAGAAAGAAAGGCACCTGTCAGAGACCCAATCTCCTATTTCAGACTTGGGTCCCGGACCACCTGAGAAGAGTCACCACTCCAAAAGGAGTATGGAGAACAGGTGAGTTCCCCATGAAGGCTCATGGGCAGAAACTTTGTGAGAGTTAAAAACAATAAAATGTAAACGTTTATGGTGCTATATTTACAAAAATGGCAATGTCTTCCACAATTAATTAAAGAGATTATTATGCACTTTGAGAAATTGTAGGTTTAGCAGGCATCTTCATCAGTGCCCAGTACAAGAATGAAGATGGTCTAAGTATGCTTTCCAGGTGCCCATGAGCCTCAGTGACCAAGTCCTGACAAATGGAGGGTGACATACAGGAGGCAGAAGGGAGGGAGAGAGGAAGACTCTGGTTCAAACAGCACATATAACTGGAAGAACAAGCCAGGCAACAGAGGATAAAACTAGAGTCCTCGACCCCAGATAATGTGTGTGTCTGAATTTTCACCATACCCTGGATAGGAGTATTTGTTTTGAGCAAACCTATAGCTATTATCAAGGTAGGATAGTAAAGTTTGCAATGTAGAGCAAGATTTATAAAGTCTGAGCCCCATTACTCTCATAACGTTATAAAGCTAGGGAAAATCAGAAAGAGGTTAGGACTATTTGGGATCTTGAAGAAAGCCTTTTTAGGAACCATTAGGTCTGGCTGAATGAAACATTTGTTAGTTCCAACAGGTGATTTGTTATGGGAGATTTGAAAAGATATTCTTCTTGTCTGTGTGTTTCTGTTATGGAGGAGATTCAAAAGCTCAGGTCAACTGAGATGAAAGGCTGAAAAGTAAGAACCAGGTGTGTCATGGACTCCTAGGTAGGTGTTAGAGGGATCAGACAAGTTCGACCACGTAAAGCAAGTATAGCAGAGGAGGGCATTCATGTCTTTCACTGGCCAGCAGAGCAGACTCTAGTATGAGAATTATGCATAACTCTCTTGTAGCCATGGTGCAAAAGTAGTGTTTAAAAGGTTTCTCCAAGGGCGCCTGTGTGGCTCAGTTGGTTAAGCGACTGCCTTTGGCTCAGGTCATGATCCTGGAGTCCCTGGATCGAGTCCCGCATCGGGCTCCCTGCTCGGCAGGGAGTCTGCTTCTCCCTCTCCCACTCCCCGTTTGTGTTCCCTCTCTCGCTGTGTCTTTCTCTGTCAAATAAATAGATAAAATCTTTAAAAAAATAAAAAATAAATAAAAGGTTTCTCCAAGGATTTTAAGATATGGCTAATCAGTTAAAAAGTCCATTGCCACTGAACAATGACATTTCTTTGTTATTTGCTCCAGCAATTGTTTACTAAACCCCTATTCTGTGCCAAGCATGAACAGTGGTAGGATGGTGCACTGTGCAGTGCTCACCTCATGAAAATTTATCATCAGGACAGAAATTAGAAAACTATAACTTGCAGGCCAAATCTAGCTTGCAAGCTGTTTTTATAAATAAAATTGTATTGGAATGTAGCCACACTCACACATTTCTGTACTGACTGGCTGCCGCCATGCTACAGTGGCTAAACTGACTAGTTGCAACAGAGACTGTATAGCACACAAAGCCTAAAATATGTATGATCTGACCTTTTAAGAAAAATGTTTGCTGGCCTCTAATCTAGGAGGATGCACACTAAAGATAATAGGTTTAATTACAGGTATACAATCATCAGTCAGTTATCCTCTAGCCAAAATTCCCCTGGTAACTCCTAGAGTAAAAGCTAACTCAACATCACTACATACTTGCTATGAGCCTTTAAGCCAAAGTGTTTTCCAACCTGGGTTCTACCCTGAAAAGTTGCCTAAGTGGCTTAAACAGAAGCTTGAAAAGAACCGATGGGAAAGGTTAAACAAGTCAGTTAGTTCTGAAGAATAAAAGGGCAAGAATGACTATTACTGACATTATATGACAGGATAGTTTTCCCTTAGCAGATGCTACCTGCAAAGAAAATATTGATTCTTCGACAAAAATCACACTTGCAGCTAGTATGTTTTGATCCCATTTTGAATGACAGAAATAGGAATGAGGAATGAAGAGTAGCATCAGCCATGTGCTCACAGTAGGACTGTGGAATGACGTGGTTGGGGCAGAAGGGCATCCTGGAGACCATGCTGCAAAAATTTTTCATTAAAACATTTGAAATTCTTCCAGTTTACCATTAAACCCAATTACCCTATTATTCAGTTGAACCTATCAAAATACTAAAAATAATAATAATTACTTATTTGATTATTATCACCTACAGAGAGTAAATTACCTTCACAATGGAGAACAAATTAACCACCCAGTGATGCTGGCCTCAGGGAATAGCTCTTTGCATCCTGTGTTCTTCATCCTACTTGGGATCCCAGGACTTGAGAATTACCAATTTTGGATTGCCCTTCCTCTCTGTGCCATGTATGTTGTGGCTATAGTTGGCAATATCATTGTCCTTCATATAGTCCGAACTGACCACACACTACATGAGCCCATGTACCTCTTTCTAGCCATGCTAGCTATCACTGACCTGGCCCTCTCCTCTTCCACGCAACCTAAAATGCTGGCTATACTCTGGTTTCATGCTCATGAGATTGAATACCATGCCTGCCTCATCCAGGTGTTCTTCATCCACGCCTTTTCTTCTGTGGAGTCTGGGTTGCTCATGGCTATGGCCTTGGACCGTTTTGTGGCTATCTGCTTCCCACTCCACCACTCTACTATCCTGACCCCAGCTGTGGTGGGTAAACTGGGGGCAGCCGTGATGATGAGAGGATTGCTGTGGGTGAGTCCCTTCTGCTTCATGGTCTCCAGGATGCCCTTCTGCCCCAACCACGTCATTCCACAGTACTACTGTGAGCACATGGCTGTGCTAAAGCTGGTGTGTGCAGACACTAGAGTCAATCGTGCATATGGGCTCTTTGTGGCCTTCTCTATGGCTGGCTTTGATATGATTGTCATCAGTATATCCTATGCGATGATTTTGAGAACTGTTCTGGGATTGCCCTCTGAGGAAGCCTGGCTCAAGGCTTTTGGCACATGTGCTTCCCATATCTGTGTCATCTTGACTTTTTACATCCCAGCCCTCTTTACTTTCCTCACCCACCGCTTTGGACATCACGTGCCCCAAGTGGTACATATCATGTTCGCTAATCTCTATCTACTGATACCTCCCATGCTCAACCCCATCATCTATGGAGTTAGGACCAAGCAGATCAGGGACAGGGTTATTCGAGGATGTTGTGGAAAAGATCCCTGAGCCAAGGGTCACGGCATCACAACCAACCCCATCACCCCACTGATCTGGAATGCACGCATCAGAACAAAGTTATCTGTGAACAAAAGGCCCAGAGGTTAGCAACCCTCCAGAACAAAAGAACAATTTTGAAAATGCCCAGAACAAGAACTCTCTGAACGATGTGATTGATCATAAATACTGAGTTGACCAATCTTCATCATCACAAGAGAACAGTAAAAAATATGTCCATCTATCAAATTAGTGAAGATTTGAACAGAATGCCATCTTCCAACAGACCACTAAGGTGAAAATGATCTTCACCCTGCCAGAAGTCTAAGCTGCTACCTGTTAAAAAGGAGATAAGAACTTTCCACCAAAACAGTTAAAAAGTACATGTATTTTTTCCTTCTTGGAATCTCTTTATAAAAATAGAATTTGAGGGAAAGAAAAGTACAAAGATATGTATAGATTCATTATTTATAAAACCAAAAACAGGAAAATACATATACTGATCTATATGAAGAATGAGCAATTGAATATCATGTAGCATTTAAGTAATGTATTTGCAAAGAGCATGTAAAGATGTGAAAAATGATCAAGATATAATATTAAAGAAAAAAGAAAACACTTGCTCATAAGGCTGAAACCAATTCTAAAAAGAAATACATATGCATAGAAAAAGATTCTGGGAATACATCTAACTGCTAATAATAGCAACTCAGAGTAGTGAGATTTGTGATATTTTAACTTTCTTTTTGCACTTTCATGTATTTTTAAAAATTATCCTTGATTGAGGACGTAATTTTAGTATGAGAAAAAGTAATTCAAACAATAACAAACTGTACAGAACAAGTTAATTCAGTGCCAAAGCCTAGGAAAATGGAGTGGGCAATCTGAGAAGATGAAGGACTCCAGAATACAAGTCCCAGAAAAGCTTGAAAATCTCCATGAAAATTGCTGCCAGAATCACAACTTTTTGAGACTGGTAACAGTGAGCATTTTGTATGCTGAGTGTTGGTCCCTCCTTCCAGAAATTGCCTATTCCCTGATGACAATGGATTGCACAGTGAAGAAGTTTTGGGGGAAAAAAAGGACATTCTCTTCTGAAGATAGCTATATTGTATGGTTAAAGGTAGTGCGAAAGTCAATAGAAGTTTGAGTATTTGTTAATATTTAATTTTCTTTTCAATTAAAATGTTAACCTGTTTTAGAAAACCATATTTTTTCTGATTTTTTCAAATTTATTATGGTGTACTTACACAAAAAAGGTGCATATATTTAATGTATTCATTTTAATGAGTTTGGACATATGCATACACACATGATAGCATCACCACAAATAAGGTAAAAATCATCCATCACAATTACTGCATTTGTGTATTTATCCTCCTTCACCACTCTCCTGTCAAAGCTAATAGTGAAGAAGGTTCTAGAACACAGGCTTTTATGTTATTAAAACCAACATCAGATGAAAGTGCTTGAAGAGGAATCGGGAACATGTTTGCTTCTCCCAGGAGAAATAGCTAGAGGAGCCTAAAAGTGTCCCCAGAAATGAATGGGTATTCTGAAGGAGCATTTTCATGATTCCCAAATACTAGCCATGTAAAGGGACCGACCCGTGTTCCTATTATCAGCAAATCAGTTAATGATTGTAAGTCCCTCTTTTACATTTTAAAATCAGTTTTGTTGCTGTATAACTTGTGACAATAAAATGTAAATATTTTCACATACACTTTGAAGAGTTCTGACACATATACCTGCCTCTGTAGCTACCAGCCTGATTAAGACAGAGAACACTGCCCTCACTTCATAAAAGGTTCTCTTGCCTCTCTGGAGTCAACCACCCCCTCTCCACCCCAACCAGGCAAACCCTGATCTGATGTCTTTCACTATAGATTAATTTTTCTCTCACTAGCACTTTTATAAACGAAGGAATAAATAATACATTCATTTGAATCTGGTGTCTTTCACTCAGTATAAAGTTTTTCAGATTGAGCCATACTGCTGCATGTAAGATAAGTAGGTCATTTTCTGTTACTGCTGAGTAGTATATTCTATTTTTTCAACATACCCATTGAGGTATTGTTACCATACTAATTGTTACCTTTTTCCTTTGTTTCAGCCTTTCTAGCCTTCTTCCAAACATACCCACTTCTTATCTGCCTAGAGTTTTGCTCTAAGTCTTCCCATTTACCCCAGTTGTTATTTTCTAGAACATTCTATCTTCCTCTCGACATCCTTTAGGTCTCAACTAATACCCTCCTTATCAGTGAGTGGTTTCTTAACCTATGTATCTCAACTAGTTCTTGCCCCCTGTAATTTTCTTTCAACACAAATATTTTATTTCCTCCCTCTCTTAATACAACGTGTAATTATTTAAATTACTTATTCACCGGGGCGCCTGGGTGGCTCAGTTGGTTAAGCAACTGCCTTCGGCTCAGGTCATGATCCTGGAGTCCCTGGATCGAGTCCCGCATCAGGCTCCCTGCTCAGCAAGGAACCTGCTTCTCCCTCTGACCCTCCCCGCTCTCATGTGCTCTCTCTCTCGTTCTCTCTGTCTCAAATAAATTAAAAAAAAAAAAATCTTTAAAAAAAATAAAAAATAAAAAATAAATAAATTACTTATTCACCATCTGTTCCTATGACTGGAATATAACTCCCATGAAAGTATAGCACAGGTGTTCACTATTCTATCCCCAGAACATGCTCACTACAAAAAACTACTCACAGGAATGAATGATTAAATGTCTACATGTGCCTGGTACCATGGTCATAATTCCAATGCTGACCACAAGATGGCATGTGCAGGTCCATTTTGGCCTCATTCCTCCCCAGTGGGATACCAGACTTTCAGTACTAAGGCCTCATTTCAGTTTTCCCATGGAAACTCTGAAGGATGTTCTTTGTCAAAGAAGATAAATTTGATATATAATTAACAATTTGTCCCTCATTCGCTTCTTTTTATTAACAAATGTAAAATATTTGGAACATTTTAAATTTCTATTCAAGAAATATCTATTGAGCAATTATGTTGCTCCAAACATTCTCTAAGAGGATGGGAATAGCATAGAGAACAAGAGAGACTGGCAATCAAAGAACATAGTTAGTAAGAAATGAGCAAAAGAAGCACACTGGATACCTACAATCCCAGCTCCAATAGGAAAACTAATTCCTTAAGCCGTGCTGCTGTGTCATGATTAGAAGTATCCTTAAGTATTCTGAATCAGTGAAAACAGATGATTGCCTTCATTATAACCTGAAGAACCAGTGGGCCGTGGGTCCAGGACATCAAATCTGTGACTAAGCCCAGCATGCATGTACTCATTTCCAAAAACTATCAAGGGTATACTTTGAGTGAGGGATTGGATTTCCCATTTGTGAGATGGGCAGAGTCATCACAGGGATGACTGGTTCCTCTGGCAATGAGCCCCCATCCTTGGGTGGGGTCCAAAGGTTGCTGTTAACATAACAAAAAACACCTAATGGCTCTTATCACTTAGGAAATTCCAAGAGTTTTAGGAGCTCTGTGCCAGAAAAGGGGACGAAGACCAAATACATATTTCTGAGTATAAATCACAACCTCACACTCTCCTTCCTTCTACCCATTCTCTTCATTTTTCAAATTTATCTTAATTAAATCTGTATAAAAGATCAGAGTGTCCAGATATGCCCATAGGCATTATGAAAAAGTAATTTCTTTCTTTATGAGTAGAAAAGGACGAGGATCAACACAGCATTTATTGTGACTCATTTCCATTTGGAACCTTAATGTATGCAATGTTTATTCTTCAGTCTATAAATCTGGGCCTGTGATTTATAAACACTGCCATCAGGAGAAACTGGATATAACCCAATTTTTTTAAACTTAGTTTCAGAGAAATATGTATATTTATCACATATGATAAGTGGGTTCTTATTAAGACAAGTTTCTTATCACTCAGCTCTCAGTTTCCAGACTTCTCAAAAACAGCGTGTGATTATGATTTGGTTAGTCCCTTCAGAGGGTAGGACCCTTCCCCACAGCAGTCATCTTCAGATGCCACCACTAGGGACTGGCTCCCACACACTTCCTGTGTCTTTCCAAGCAGGAGGATTCTCAATTCTGGATCTGTTTCCTGTTCTCTATCAGCTATGCTGGGGCTGTTGTGAAAAACAGCTCCCTGCTTTGATGTGGCCTGCACATCATGTATTTCTTCCTGGCCCTGCTAGCTTTCATGGTAGAGATCCTCTTACTTCCACCTCACCTAAGAGGTTGTCCATTTTATTGGTTGCAAGCCCATAAAATGAACTACTATAACTGCCTCTACTATGCTGGTCTGCTTCATCCATACTTTCTCCTCTGTCAGTCAGGGGTGGCCACGTGCATTTGGGTACTAGATGTGCCAATCTGCTTTCCACTCCACCATGTTCATTTTGTTCCAATAACTGGCAGCCAAGCTGGGAAAAACCGTGAAACCACAAAGCATGCTGTGCGTGAGCCCCCATTTCTTCCTGATCTCCTGGTTGCCCCTCTGCCTCAACTACATCATCCCCTAAGACCTACTGTGATCATGTGGCTATGCTAACACTGGCAAATGCTGACACCAGACCAGACCTATGGTCTCTTGTGGCCTTTGTGGTTGGATTTGATAGATTTGTCATTATAACACCATATGTTATGATACTGCAGGCCATGCTGTAGCTGCCCTGTGGAGAAGCACTGCCCACGATGGTTGGCACACATGCCTCTCACATTTGTGTCATTCTGTCCCTGGATATCTCAGCACTCTCCTCCTCCTTCCAGTGATTTCACCACCATATACCCAGAATGGCTCCAATCTCACTGCTCAGTGATCCTACTGGTGCCTTCTATTTCAAAACCATTCCATGGTATCAGTTGAATTGTGAACCCTGCACCCCAGAAAAAGATATGTTGGAGTACCTCAGAATGTGATTACATTTGCAGATAGGTATTTACAGAGGTAGTCTAGTACAAATGAGGTCATTTTGGTGAGCCCCAACCCAATATGACTAGTAAACTTATATAAAAAAAAAAAAAAAGAAATTTGAACACAGAGATACGCACACAGAGAGAACATGTGAACACAAAGGCAGAGATTGAAGTGATGGCTCTAGAGGGAGAGAAAAAAGAACATTTCCTAGCTATTCTGAGAGGCCCAAAATCTTGAAAGGGTATTGCAAAACAAGAAAAAATGAAATCAAATCTCTCATTAACATAGAGGCCAAACTACCAAATAAAATATTATTAAAAATAATCCAGCAAGGGGGTGCCTGGGTGGCTCAGTTGGTTAAGCGACTGCCTTCGGCTCAGGTCATGATCCTGGAGTCCCGGGATCGACTCCCGCATCGGGCTCCCTGCTCGGCAGGGAGTCTGCTTCTCCCTCTGACCCTCCTCCCTCTCATGCTCTCTGTCTCTCATTCTCTCTGTCTCAAATAAATAAATAAAATCTTTAAAAAAATAAATAAATAAATAAATAATCCAGCAAGAATACAGAACA